GCTGGATCGGTTGATCGCTCTATCGGTAGAATTGCTGGATCTGTAGATCACTAGATCTGTAGATCGCTGGATCGGTAGATCGATGGTTCTATAGATCAATGGATCTTCATATCGCTGGATCGGTAGATCGATAGATCTATAGATCGGTGGATCGGTAGATCGATAGATCTGTAGATCACTGGATCAGTAGATCAATATATCTTCAGATCGCTGGATCGGTAGATCGATGAATCCGTAGTTCGATACATCTAGAGATCGCTGGATCTATAGATCGCTGGATCGGTAGATCGATGGATCTATAAAGCGCAGGATCGACAGATCACTTGATCTGTAGATCGGTGGATCGGTAGATCGCTGGATCTGTAGATCGCTGGATCGGTAGATCGAGGGATCTGTAGATCGCTGGATCTGTAGATCGCTTTATCGGTAGGTCGCTGGATCTGTAGATCGCTGGATCGGTAGATCGATGAATCTATAGATCGCTGGATCCATAGATCGCTGGATCCGTAGATCGCTCTATCGGTAGATTGCTGGATCTGTAGATCGCTATATCTGTAGATCGCTGGATCGGTAGATCGATGGATCTATAGATCGCTGGATCGATAGATCGCTGGATCTGTAGATCGCTGGATCTGTAGATCGTTATATCTTTAGATCGCCTGATCGGTAGATCGATGGATCCGTAGATCTATAGATCTATAGATCGCTGGATCGATAGATCGCTTTATCGGTAGATCTCTGGATCTGTAGATCGCTGAATCGGTAGATCGATGGATCTATAGATCGCTGGATCGATAGATGGCTGGATCGGTTGATCGCTCTATCGGTAGAATTGCTGGATCTGTAGATCACTAGATCTGTAGATCGCTGGATCGGTAGATCGATGGTTCTATAGATCAATGGATCTTCATATCGCTGGATCGGTAGATCGATAGATCTATAGATCGGTGGATCGGTAGATCGATAGATCTGTAGATCACTGGATCAGTAGATCAATATATCTTCAGATCGCTGGATCGGTAGATCGATGAATCCGTAGTTCGATACATCTAGAGATCGCTGGATCTATAGATCGCTGGATCGGTAGATCGATGGATCTATAAAGCGCAGGATCGACAGATCACTTGATCTGTAGATCGGTGGATCGGTAGATCGCTGGATCTGTAGATCGCTGGATCGGTAGATCGAGGGATCTGTAGATCGCTGGATCTGTAGATCGCTTTATCGGTAGGTCGCTGGATCTGTAGATCGCTGGATCGGTAGATCGATGAATCTATAGATCGCTGGATCCATAGATCGCTGGATCCGTAGATCGCTCTATCGGTAGATTGCTGGATCTGTAGATCGCTATATCTGTAGATCGCTGGATCGGTAGATCGATGGATCTATAGATCGCTGGATCGATAGATCGCTGGATCTGTAGATCGCTGGATCTGTAGATCGTTATATCTTTAGATCGCCTGATCGGTAGATCGATGGATCCGTAGATCTATAGATCTATAGATCGCTGGATCGATAGATCGCTTTATCGGTAGATCTCTGGATCTGTAGATCGCTGGATCTATAAAGCGCTGGATCGATAGATCGCTGGATCTGTAGATCGCTGGATCGGTAGATCGCTGGATCTGTAAATTGCTGGATCAGTAGATCGATGGATCTATAGATCGCTCAATCGAGAGATCGCTGGATCTGTATATCGCTCTATCGGTAGATCGCTAAATCTGTAGATCGTTGGATCGGTAGATCGATGGATCTATAGATCGCTGGATCGATAGATCCCTGGAACTGTAGATCGCTGGATCTGTGGATCGCTCTATCGGTAGATTGCTGGATCTGTAGATCACTGGATCGGTAGATCGATATATCTTTAGATCGCCGGATCGGTAGATCAATGGATCCGTAGATCCTTAGATCTATAGATCGCTGGATCGATAGATCGCTTTATCGGTAGATCTCTGGATCTGTAGATCGCTGGATCGGTAGATCGATGGATCGATAGATCGCTGGATCTGTAGATCGCTCTATCGGTAGGTCGCTGAATCTGTAGATCGCTGGATCGGTAGATCGATGGATCTATAGATCGCTGGATCGATAGATCACTAGATCTGTAGATCGCTGGATCGGTAGATCGATAGATCTATACATCAATGGATCTTCAGATCGCTGGATCATGAGATCGATGGATCTATAGATCGCTGGATCGATAGATCGCTGGACCTGTAGATCGCTGGATCTGTAGATCGCTCTATCGGTAGATTGCTGGATCTGTAGATCACTGGATCGGTAGATCGATATATCTTTAGATCTCCGAATCGGTGGATCCATGGATCCGTAGATCGATAGATCTATAGATCGCTGGATCGATAGACCGCTTTATCGGTAGATCTCTGGATCTGTTGATCGCTGGATCGGTAGATTGATGGATCTATAAAGCGCTGGATCGATAGATCGCTTTATTGGTAGATCTCTCGATCTGTATATCGCTGGATCGGTACATCGATGGATCTATAAAGCGCTGGATCGATAGATCGCTGGATCTGTAGATCGCTGGATCTGTAGATTGCTCTATAGGTAGATTGCTGGATCTGTAGATCACTGGATCGGTAGATCGATATGTCTTTAGATCGGTTGATCGGTAGATCCATGGATCCGTAGATCGATAGATCTATAGATCGCTTTATCGGTAGATCTCTGGATCTGTAGATCGCTAAATCGGTAGATCGGTGGATCTATAAAGCGCTGGATCGATAGATCGCTGGATCTGTAGATCGCTGGATCGGTAGATCGATAGATCTGTAGATTACTGGATCAGTAAATCGTTATATCTTTAGATCGCCGGATCGGTAGATCGATGGATCCGTAGATCGATACATCAATAGATCGCTGGATCTATAGATCGCTGGATCGGTAGATCGATGGATTTATAAAGCGCTGGATCGAAAGATCGCTGGATCTGTTGATCGCTCTATCGGTAGGTCGCTGGATCTGTAGATCGCTGGATTGGTAGATCGATGGATCTATACATCGCTTGATCGATAGATCGATGGATGTATAGATCGCTGGATCGATATATCGCCGGATTTGTAGATCGCTTTATCGGTAGATTGCTGGATCTCTAGATCACTGGATCGGTAGATCGATGGATCCGTAGATCGATAGATGTATAAATCGCTGGATCGATAGATCGCTTTATCGGTAGATCTCTTGATCTGTAGATCGTTGGATCGGTAGATCGATGGATCTATAAAGCGCTGGATCGATAGATCGCTGGATCTGTAGATCGCTGGATCGGTAGATCGATGGATCTATAGATCGCTGGATCGGTAGATCGAAAGATCTTTAGATCACTGGATCAGTAGATCGATATATCTTTAGATCGCCGGATCGATAGATCGATGGATCCGTAGATCGTTAGATCTATAGATCGCTGGATCTATAGATCGCTGGATCGGTAGATCGATGGATCTATAAAGCGCTGGATCGATAGATCGCTGGATCCTTAGATCGCTGGATCTGTAGATCGATGGATCTATAGATCGCTCGATCGATAGATCGCTGGATCTGTAGATCGCTCTATCGGTAGTCTCACTTTCTTTAGTTTAGGCGCCGCTCTCGCTTCATAAGTCTACACAAAGACCGTAAACAGTGGTTTGTTTACTGCTCTGCTCGCGCTTTACACGACCACACAAAGTCCGTAAACGGTGGTTAATTTCATTTTAATACACATCTTAATGCTCAGTTTTACAATCGCACGTTTCTTAAATCATTCTAAGCAAAATATCTTTCACACATTCTATTCGTAGACGACCGGGTTCCGCCATAATAAAGTTTTTAAAAACATTCGAACTTAGATGTTTTAGCGTTGTTTTTCTAGGCATCGAGGATAGAATGGAAGGAATAATACAAGGAACAAGGACTTTTAATAATTCCGATTTAAAGCTTCAACATCTGACTCGTAGGCGAACTGACATATTAGACGTAGGCGAATCGACTCTATTAGTAGGCGAACAGACCGTGGGCAAAACGACCCGTAGGCGAAACGACCGGATACCGATAGAGCGATCTACAGATCCAGCGATCTACAGATCAAGCGATCTACAGATCCAGCGATCTATCGATCCAGCGATCTATAGATCCATCGATCTACCGATCCAGCAATCTACAGATCTAGTGATCTACAGATTCAGCAATCTACCGATAGAGCGATCTACGGATCCAGCGATCTATCGATCCAGCGATCCATAGATCCATCGATCTACCGATCCAGCGATCTACAGATCCAGCGACCTACCGATAGAGCGATCTACCGATCCAGCGATCTAGAGATCCATCGATCTACCAATCCCGCGATCTACAGATCCAGCGATCTACCGATCCAGCGCTTTATAGATCCATCGATCTACCGATCCAGCGAGCTATAGATCAAGCGATCTATAGATGTATCGCTCTACGGATCCATCGATCTACCGATCCGGCGATCTAAAGATATATCGCTCTACTGATCCAGTGATCTACAGACCTATCGATCTACCGATCCAGCGATTTATAGATCCATCGATGTATCGATCCAGCGATCTATAGATCCATCGATCTACAGATACAGCGATCTACAGATCCAGCGACCTACCGAAAGAGCAATCTACAGATCCAGCGATCGATCGATCGAGCGATCGATCGAGCGATCTATCGATCGAGCGATTTATAGATCCATCGATCTACCGATCCAGCGATCTACAGATCCAGCGATCTATCGAACCAGCGCTTTATAGATCCATCCATCTACCGATCCAGCGATCTACAGATCCAGAGATCTATAGATCCAGCGCTTTATAGATCCAGCGATCTACAGATCCAGAGATCTACCGATAAAGCGATCTATCGATCCAGCGATCTATAGATCTATCGATCTACGGATCCCCCGATCTACCGATCCGGCGATCTAAAGATATATCGATCTACCGATCCATTGATCTACAGATCCAGCAATCCACCGATAGAGC